CCTGAATGAGCTTAAAGAGGCCCATAGCTCCCCAAAATGCCATATGTACGTGTTTTTGATTCTAGGCAGGGAGCTCCTTGGCTTTCACCAGGTTTTGAAGGAGAGGACCCCAAGGCCCACTGGTGGGAGCCATCAGAAGCAGCTGGGCCAGGAGCCCATTGTTAGATTTTCATTTTTGATTAAGATCTCTTTGGTAGCCGACTGAAGGGAGGATGCTGAAGTATGGAAACCAGAAGCCAGTTTACCAGTGGGGCCCATAGGGTCTGAGCCTCAGCCCTCTTCCTTTGCCCTGAGCAAAGTCTCCCCAAGGCTGTCTGCCACCCCATAGGCATCTGCCTCCGGCCTAGCCAACAGGTCTCCTGGACATTTCCAAACATCTCCACCAACATGTCCACCGGCCACAGCTGAAGTCAGCGTCTGTGCCTGGCACATGGGAGACATCAGGTAAATGTTTTCCAATTGAATTGAGGTCCAACTCTACCATAAACTCATGAGCTGGATTTTAGGGTTTGATTTTAGGTCTTTCTGGGGATCAATCAACTCTCTTTTATCCAGAAGTCTCAAAATTCTTAAGGTTTTCTGAAAAAAAATCTATAGTTCCTATCCTATTTATTAGTTGAAAAGTAATTGCATGCTCTAAGCACATGCTATAATACAAGTAGGAGTCTTTGACCCCATCTATAGGTGAGCAAACTGAGGCCCCCGGCTAAAAAAATGGGCCTAGAAAGCCCAGGTGAACCAGCTTGCTCTCTTCTCCCCAACCCTGCGTGGGGACCTCACAGTGACCCGGTCTCAGCCAGCGGTGCCTGGATCCCCACCCCAGTGACCGCTCCAGCCTGTTGCTACTGGCGGGCCACTGCCCACTTTCTCTGCTCTGTGTGGTGGTTTTGTTGCTGTGGCAATGCAGCAACCTGAAGTGTGTGTGTGTGTGTGTGTGTGTGTGTGTGTGTGTGTGTGTGTGGTGTGTTGAGAGGCACTGCAGGATGCAGGGGTGGGGTTCTAATTGGTTTGATGGTTGCTAGGGTCAACAGGGCTGTGATTGGCTGACTCTCTTTCTGTGCCCACCCTGTCCTAGAACCCTCTGGGGATGCAGCTGTTGCCCCATCTGAAGTCTGGAGTGGTTGTGCATGGTGTGTGCTTGTGCACGTGTGTACACGCATGCACAAGTGCACACACGCCTGTACATTGAGCACAAACAGTGAGGAGATGACGTGATGCCCGGTGCAGCAACAAAGCGGAAACGCCTGGGCTTTCTCGTGAAATCACGCTGGAACCAGGTAAATGGCATTTATCTCATAATCATCTCCACTCTCCATAAATCACTGGAAAACAACGGCCTGGGTTTATTCAGAGGAAGAGTAAGAATTGGCTGAGTCCAGCCAAGTCCTGCTGTCCCCATTCACTAGTACACGTCTAAGGAGCTAGGCCACAGGGGGTTGGTCCATGGGCTCAGGTCTCTGCTGCCATTCTCCCTCTTCCCTGCCAAGGACATACCTGCTCTTGCGGAGAGCTCCTCTCTGTTCTTAGTTTCCCATTCCTCCTGTCTTCACTTGTCTCCCAGAACCCTAAGAAGGGCTCTTTGGCCCAACGCTAATGAGCTCACGCACGTGCAGATCTTTTCACAGTTCACGAAGCACTTTCACATTCACACTCCCATTGAATCCTGCTGAGAGGCGGGCGTTCACATTATGCCCATTTTGCAGAGGAGGAAAACTGAGGCCCAGATAAACGAAATGACTCCTGCACCTCAGGGGCAGAGTCAGGCCTCTGGGCCTCCCGGGTGTCCCTGCAGTGCTTTTCTAAGACTGTGCCTGCATGAGTGCCTGCATGAGGGCCAGAAGGGAGGAGAGCCTGTGGCAACATGCAAAAAGGAGATTCTCTGCTGGCTGAACTCTCCCTGTCTAGATGCTGTGCCTCCCAGGCGAAAGTGGGGCGGGCTTGAACTTTGGTTTTTCAGAATCTATTCGAATGCACTACCCACACAATCTGTGAAGAGAGCTGTTTCCAGCTTCCCCACTCAGCCCTCAGGCACCCAGGGATGGCTGTCCTATCTGCAGAGCAGTGGCATGTCACTGGCAGTGGGGGGGAGAGATGGGATCAGAGTGGGGAGTGGGCTGGGCTGCTGCCAGGGACCCCCATTGTCATGATGCTCCAGCCTGCCAGCATGCAGTGCTAGGGCCACCAGGGCATCTCAGGAATGCCACAGACCCTTTAGGCTACAGAGGGGAGGGGCTTGCAGGGCCTACAGAGGAGGGGCCCCAGGAGCCAGGGTGCCAGGGGTGACCCCCAGCTGAGAGTCTCTTGTCTGACCCTCTGCAAGGAGGCAGTTATTGGGCTGCAGAGAAGGAAACAAGCATTGACTGGGTGCCAAAGTCACATCTCATTGAAACCTCACAACAGCCCCACCAGAGAGGGACTATTGCCATCTCCACATTACAGACAGGAAAGCCAGGTCCCGTCTGTAATGCCCAGGTAACTGCCCAAGGTCACACAGTCTATGTGGCTTTAAAGCTCAAGGTCTTGCTTGGTGGGGCAGCAGGGCGGGAGCCCCTCCTCAGTGGAGGACCTAGGTAGTGCTGCTTCTACTAAGCTGGGCTTGTTGAGAGATACACGGAAAGAAAATTGGCATGGAAGAAGGGCGGGGGACCCCCAAGAGTTTGGAGGGAATTTTCAGAAGGGCACCGATAGGGAGCAGAAAAACTAGGATGGCCCAAACAGCGCACATACATAGGCTCCCTATCCAGCTAGTAAGCTCCACGCACGTGCCTGGTCACTCTTACCTGGTTCCCCCTTCTACCTGCCCATCGCTCATGTCCTTCCCTGGAGCTGCCCAGGCTCCACCAGCCATTCTCCGGGCTCCATTCACACACCCATCTGCAGCCCATTCCCTTCCCCCACCCCTGAAGAGCAAGGCACACCTTCAAAACTGAAGACTTCCAAGATTCTGAAATGCAATCCCAGGTCAGGGGGTGACCCGTGATGTGACAGTCTCTGACCCAGTAGCTGATCCTACATCATTTAAGCTGTCACCTCTCCTCTGTGAAGCTGTCCCTGATTCTCTTGGGCACTGTTAAGGGATTCCTCCTCTGCCCCAGACCATACTGCCTTGCTATGTAACTGCTCCTCTGCACATCTCTCTCCCATGGATGGTGACCTGCATGAGAACAGGGACTGAGACTTAAATCCCAAGGATCCAGTACCGTCCCTGGCATATAGCAGGTGCTCAATAAATGTTTATTGAATGGACAAACAATGGTAATTATATCTACTATTTATTGAGTTCCTGTTACGAGCCAAGCCCTATGCCTTGGCATACATGATCTTTAATATGCACAACAACCACACAAGAACAATTTTAGTATCTTCATTTTACTGATTGCAAAACCAGGCTCAGAAAGTCTAAATCACTTGCCCAAGGTCACACAGCCAATACAAGGAGGTTCTGGGAATCCAGGCATGCCTAAGAAACTTCTAGCTTGGCCTATCACACCAGTGGTTCCAACCTTGACACTTCACTCTCTTTTCTTCGGGACTCAAACAGGCACAAAGTTCCTGATCCTGTCTCCTAACTCTCTCTCAAGTAAGTTCCCTCCTCTCCTCCCTGCTGCCCCTGCCCTAGTCTAAGCCTGCCTCATTTTTCACCAGGATTGGCCTCCAAACCCGGGTTCCCATTTCCAGATTTGCCCCACCATCCATCCTCCACTTGACTGCCAGAGGGATGGTCCTAAACCACAGACCTGGTGACCTCTCTTTCCTCTGAAATGCTCCATGTTGCCCCATATTTTCAGGATAGGGTCCTGGCTTATTAGCCATGGCATATGTAGAAGGGTCTTCAGACCCGAGCACCTGCCTCCCTTTACGACGTCACCTCCAGCCCCACTGACTCTAAGCTCCGGCCTCACAGAGCTGTGCAGCCGTGTTCTCTCACTCCTGCACTTTGCACACAGTGGTATCCCTCCTGGGGAACAGAAAACCATCCTCCCCACCACTGTCCTCTCATCCAGATTGCAGAGGCCAGGCCCACTGGCAAGGCAGAGGACACAGATCTCCTGGATTTGGTGCCCTTGATCGGAGGCAGCACCTCTTCTCAGAGCCCTCAGGAGGGGGCAGGGCTGGGAGGCTCCCAGGTGGGGCCACTGTGCTCTTCACCCCATCCCAGTTTTCCTTTGATCCCTGAAGTCAGATGGTGTGGGTGGAGTGGCCTTTGGCCTGGGTCACTAACTCCTTGTGGGACTTTGAGTCAGTCCAATCTCCTTTCTGGGCCTCAGTTTCCCCTTCAGTAAAATGAAAGCTTGACTGGCACTAGCTATTCTGTAAGCCTTCTTGGACGATTCTCAGTTGGCCTGGAGGGTTTAATCCCAAAAGGACAAACTGAATTACCCTTCAGGGTAGGGAGTGGGGCTGATGGCTAGTGGTGAGGCTTCATTCAGGCCCTGGAGAGGTGAGACCAACCAGGTGAGAGCTTTGTCCCCAAAGGTAAGTGACAAGTCCCACTGGACAGGGCAGAGGGAGAGCCCCAGGGCTACGGCTGTCAAGAATCTAAAGGCAAAAATGACCAAGAGGACCTGTCTGTGCACATTATCTCCTGGCGTGCCAGGTGCTGGGATCCAGGATTGGACTCAGAAGGGGGGGGGCACATTTAGAGAGAGGAACTCTCAGCAAATCACCCCGGTGCCCTGGCGGTGCCCTGGCCCCAGTCCTGGGGTGCCACAGTCCAGAGGATCTCCCTCCCTGGTTAAGGTTCTCAGGACCAGTCCCAGAGGGCTGGCAGAGGCCGGGCCCAGGAACGAAACCGGAAGCGGCGCTTGGACCCTGGTTCCCAGAGTGGGAGAAAGGGGTGGGCACCGGGCAGAGGGAGCCCTAGGGATTGGCAGCAGCGGTGGGCAGGGCAGGAGGGACGGGGAGGAGTCAATTTGTACACGTGAAAAACTCTGGCGGGGGCCGGGCTCTTCCCTTCCTCCTCCTCCTCCCCTCCCTCCTCTTCCCCACCTTCCTCCTCCCGGTCCCTTCCCCTCCCCTTCTCCCTCCTCCTCCTCCTCCTCCTCCTCCTCCTCCTCCTCCAGCTCAGGTTGCAGCTCCTCTGGGGAGCCGCTCACCTTTCCGGAGTGGGGGAAGCAGCCCGAGCCGGCAGGGACCCCAGCAGGGCGCAGGGCGCGCGCCCAGCCCCGCCGCCCCTGGCCGTCGCGGTGCCCCCAGGACACGCGCGGTGAGTCCCGCGGGCGACGTGCCGTGTCCGGGCGGCTGGGGGGCGGCGCGCGGCGGAGGAAGGGAGGTCGGAGAAGGGGGCACCCACCGCGGCGCCGGGAAACGGAGCAAAGGTAAGCGGAGCGGCCCTTAAAGGCGCCGTTCTGCTTTTGCCCTGGGGCCAGAGGTTGGAGGGAACTGCCCCAGCTCCGGGGGGAGGTCGGCGGTCACGAGGCGTGTGGGCATGTGTGTCGGGGGGGGGGGGGGTGATGTCCTGTAGAGGCCACTCCCAAGTTCCAGGTGCGTAGGAGGGAGGGCTCTTCTGCATTCTCAGATCCCCGACCCCGCAGCGAGTCTCCATCGGGACTCACTTGGCCCCCGGGCTCCGGTCTGAACCCGGGGAAGCAAAGTTTTCCACCAGAGGCTTTCTAATCTCCCTTCTTTCTGGGAAGGGCCAGGGTCAGGAGTCTCCGGTGAGGAGAGCGCCCGCGAGTGCGGGGCTTCCTGGGCTCAGTGAACTTTCCCGAGCGACAGGCGGGGGGTGCACAGCGAAGGACGCGCGAAACGCTGCAGGTTCCAGAGACTGGAGGGGGAGAGGGTGTTGACTGGGGCCTCTGGGGACTGCTGCTTCTCTCTTTGCCCACCCAGAGCCCAAAGGGGCAGTGGCCGCCACTCCGCAGCGGCGGTAGCAGCAGCAGCAGCGGGCAAAGGGTTAATGCAGCGATGGGAAAGAGTGGGTGGCCTCTTGGGCTAAGGGGATGTGGCTTGAGGATTCTGCTGTGTGGGGGGAGATGATCAGAAATGAGAATTGGAATGGGTATGGGCTGTAGCCCCTGTTCTCTCCCTGTGGGGGCAGGGTTCCTGGGAGCTGCCTGCAGCCTTGAGGTGGGAGTACGCTGTGCAGACAGGGACAGATTTTCTGTGCTGTGGGGCCACCACCGTCCTAGGCACCCGTGGCCTCTTTCTAATTCTCTCTGAACCCTTTCCTGACAGTAGGGGTAGGAGAGTTGGGGCTGTGAGGAGTGGGGGTCAGCTCCCCAGACCCTCATGCCCACCCCCAGCTCAGCCCTCAGCAGTTCCTCAACAGCGGCCTGGGCCCTGTGACTCACTGCCAGCACGGCCTGCCCCTCCTGTGTCAGCGCCCTGAGAGATTTGGCATGTCCGTGTGGTGTTTTCCACTGGGCACAGGCACACCGCACATTCCTGGACACTGGCCTGAGGAGGCAGAATCCTCGAGGACACCTGGAACGTCTGGCTGACAGGCACGTCCTCAGAGGTCCCCTGCCTTTCTTCTGGCCTTGGGAGGGGCTGGGACCATGTTGCTTAGTGCTGGGGGAAGGTGAGGGTGGCCCGCAGCATGGGCTCTGGGTCCGGGTCTGCATCCTGAAGGCCATCTAGAGAGGGTCACCTTGCCACAGCAAAGCTCCTGTCTTGGGTTACCCTGACCCAGCCACCCCCTGTGCAGCCGGTGAGCCTGGGAGGCTGACTTCCCCCCACCCCTGGAGCCTCACTGCCCCTGGTGGCTGCCCACGTCCCGCCGGGAGAGTGGAGCCTTCCTTCTTCCCAGACTTCTTGGAGTTTCCAGAGACAGAGTAGACTTCAGTAAGTTACATCCTATTTCTGAATGCCTTAGTGGCTGCCATTTACTAAACATCTACCAGGTGCCAAGCAGCGTGTCACACAGCTTTATGAAGTACGTATTATTATCCCCATTTTAGGGGTGAGGAGATGGAGACTCTGAGAGACCAGCTTAGGTGGGATCCAGCCCACTTCCCTCTGACCCCAAGCCCCCTGCTCTCTCCCCATCCCATCAAGGGGGTTCCCAGCCCGCTCTGGAATTCTCTGCATCTATATCAGTCCTCAGGAGCAGGAAAGATGGGGACAGAGTGCTCTGAGTAGTGAGGCTCCCACTGGTCCTGTGCCAGGCAGAGCTAGGCTTCTCCATGGGGTGCAGGAGAGAGGGCGCCAGATCTGAGGAACAGGTAGGTTCCTGGTCTGAGATCTCATGGGATCTGGCTGCCTGCCTTGGAAGCACCGCCTGGGTTTAGAGGAGATGGAGCTGCCTTTATGGCTGCATTTTTCTCTACAGACCCAGACTCTGTCCTCTGCAACTTGGGCCTTCCTATGCCCAGGCCAACAGGCCCCATGCTGTATGGCAGAGCCTGCCTTGGCTCCTCCCAGCTCCTCCCCAACCATGCCTCTCCTTTCTAGGGTCACCTTGTTTTGGGCTTTTGTCCAGCATCTCCATCTATCCCTCCCCTGGTTCCTTCTTTCCCTCCCTAACTGACTTTGAGACCTTACAGGAGGGCAAACCCAGGGCCTTGTTGGAGTCCACCTCCAGCACATCGTACTAGCTATGTGAACTCCTCTCCTCAGCAAACTGCTGAGCTTCTCCCAGCCTCAGTTTCCTCATCTGTGAAATGGAGATCATAATAGGGAAGGTTGTCATATGAATTAAATGAAGTAGCCCATAGTACCTGGCATGTGGCAGATGCTGAATAATTGGTAGCTGTACTGTCACTGGCTATTTGGAAAGGGAATTCCATATTATCATGTCGTGCTTGGCTCTGGGGTACAGACCGAGGCAGGCTTAGCTAATCCCGTCAGGCCAAGCCCTTGGACGGGGTCTTTCCTGCCCTTCCAGGTTGGGAAGGAAGGCTCTGTGTAAGAGAATGGGGGGTGGGGTGCAGGTCGGATGGAAACCTGCCGGGAGGGGACCAGGAATGTGTGCTATGGGGACTCTTACCCTCTGGTTTCGGGGATGAGTGAGGTAGGCACTGGGAGCCAGAAAACCAACAGCCTCCCTCTCCAAGCGCCTCTGGCAGCGCTTCCTTGCCCCTGGGTAAGAAGACCCTCCCTGAGACTTAATTAGTCGCTGTCCCTGTTCTACTCTGTTGTCCATGAGGGAGCGGCTGGCCTGGGTCCAGACTTACCTAATTAGCTTCACTCTTTTAGGAATGAGTCACATTTCTCTTCTCCAGCCCTGTTCTCTCCCCTACCCCAGACCCTTCACCCTCGCCCTCCTGGCATTAGCTGCTGAGCGAGCGCTTTCACATCTCCAGGGGCTGGGATCACACCACGGTTAGTCCTGTCTTGTCCTGGTCCCCACGGCTGTGCACACACACACACACTCCAGCTCTGATGCCGGGCTCATGGCAGCTCAGGCAGAGGCTCCGGGTCCCAGGATCACGACAGAGCTGGCGGCTGGGCCTGGCAGGAGCAGGCCAGAGGCGCAGCTGCAGATCGAGTGGAGAGAAGGCTGTAAGCACATCTCAGCCAGACCTCCTGTCTGAAGGAGTGCCCATCCGGCCCTGAAATCTCCACATTCCGTCTGCAGAGGAGGAGGGACAGGGAGGCAAAAGTGTGAGGTTTGGCTTTGAACCAAAAAGGCTCTTGAAGCTCCCTCGCAGCTTGAGTGATCATGGTGAGACAGGATACCCTGGTTTCAGAGACATTGGCCAGAACTTTTGAAGGGACAGTGGTCAGACTCTCTTTCTTGGAACTCTGGATAATGGTCTCACCCTGTGCTCCCACCCCACCCTGCCAACATTAAATAGCCTTCTCTGGAAATGGCGGGTGGGAGAGACAAGATGACTGGATAGTGGCTGGCTGATGCATTCGCTCATTCCTTATATGCTGAACGTGCGTCTCCTGTCCCCCATGGTGGAGGCAGCTTATGGACTTTGGGGTCAGTTCAGATCCTGCCTCTGCCGTTCATGGAGCCTTGCCTTAGATGAAGGAACTTGGTCACCCAAGTTTTAGTTTCCTGGTTTAGAAAATGGGGAGAGTAATGGTATTCCTTCATGTGGTTGCCAGGATCCCAATGAAGTAATGTCCTCAATCTAGCTTTTTCCTTACCTGGTGGCATTATTGAGGGGTGGTGACAAGCGGAGTTAAGGGCCACATTTGGCAGTTCTCAGTAGCCTGGCCTCTGCTCGATCCCTGTGGGAACCAGGGCTCAGGCCCCAAATGAGGAAGGGAACTCTGCTCTTCAGACGTTTCTGCCCTCCCTCACCCTGAGCACCCTCTGCAGTTTATCGTTTTCATGGGAAGTTCTGACAAAACTCCAGGTGATTTCTGTCCTCACCTTGCTTCCCTAAAGAAGCCTCCCCTTTCCTGCCTTTGGTAGTCCTCCTCAGGAACAGGGCTGCTTCTCTCCTCTGGCCCCAGCCATCCAGCAAAGGAGACCCTCGCTGGGTGACCAGGCCCTGGGGGGGACATGGCTGTCCTTCCCCACGTCCTAGCGGGATCCAGTGGCTGGAAGCAGGGAGGCGGTAGGCCCTGTGCTGGAGGGTGTTACTCGTGACATCAACAGTGCTGGGTCTCCAGACCACCCTGCCAGCAGGGCATGGGGTGAGGCCAGGAAAGGGGTCCCAGAGCCCTCCCTGTTCCTGGCGTGGAGCCCAGCTAGCAGCACCGCCTGCCATGGCTGGGCTGGGTGCCACATTCTGGGCTGATGCCAGATCCAACATGGCTCCTTCCCTGTGCAAGGAGCCCTTGAGTGGGCTGATGATTGCCCTAGAGATGCTGCCCTGTGGAGGGAGTGCCATCTCTGGGCAGGTCCTTGCAGTCCCCTCCAACCCCGGCGGAGCAGCAGGGGCACTGAACTCAAAGTCACAAGGCCTCCGTGCTAGTCTCAGCTTTCCCCCATCAGCCGAGTGGCCTTGGGCAGGTCACTCCCCTTTCTGAGTCTTGCCTTCTTCACCTGAAAAATGAGGGCACAGACCGGGGATTTCTAAAGCCCCATCCAAGACTGCTGGTTTGTGGTTCCAGCTTTTGCCAATCTTGCTGACAAGGATCGCTCTGAGACCCCAGGAGGGCCTCCGCCTTCTGTTCCTTCAAACTCTGGAGCACAGGGGCTTTCCCCAGCTGAGGCCTAGCTAGCCAGTCCCTGCCACAGCTCCGATGGACAAGGAAGCCCTGGAAGGCTCCTTGCTGTCAGATAGCAGGAGAAAAATACCTCCTAGAGGAGAGGGTGCTGGATTCAAACGCCACATGGGCACTGGATGCTCAAGGGTGAGG